AATGAAATAACTTAACTGGATTGCATTATTTTGGAAAAAGGTATAGAAAAAAGTTGTAGGGTTTCGAGGGGCCAATCAATTGGTGACCTCATATGTGGCTTTGACCTTCAAGGTCATTTGGAGGTCAAGTCTGTTTTTTCAATGGGAACACACATTTTTGACCCCGGAAATGGAAAGAGCAGGAAATTTCACAACCGGATGTACCTTTGACCTTATTGTCTAGGTCAAAGGTCAAGATTATTTTAAGGTTAAATTATAAGCTTTTTCTAATGGTTACTTTTTATTACTGGAATAGGCAGGGAGGTAAAAGTTACATTTTTTCATGACCTTATTACTTTGAACTTTAAAAGCATTCACTACTTTTAGCACTACCAAGGAGTAATAATGTGGATATAGTAGTTTTCTGCTCCCTTTGAGGTGCTTATTTTCAGTGAATCTCCTTGCCTCTCACTATTGTGGTGCATGTTTTTGGTGAGTCACTTTAATTCTTACCATTGTTTGAGATGTTGGTTTTGGGGGAAAATTTTATAACAAATGTTCAAAATGATGCTCTTCCACTTTAATGCATTTATTGAGCCGCGCTTACAATTATCATGCTTGAGATGACCTTCAGAGGTCAAATTTGGGGTACTCAAGGTCATGGCTGATTGTGAAATTTCCCGTTGTTTCCATGTAAATGTAACTTTTACCTCCCTGCCTATTCCAGTAATAAAAAATATTGTGAGATACGACCCATGTGCAAACCAATTCTTCACTTTCTTCCTAATATTTTGACATATTTTAAACAAATTTATCATTTTACCGTGAAAAACCCATTGTCAGAAAAAAGGAATCAAATATCTCACTCATATCAAAATATCAAATATCGAACTTATAACTCTCCCCTTTAATGTAAACATTCGACCATCTAACAATGGCATTCTTCTGCTGCAAGACTTAAAGTTTACAATTAAAGTCTAACTTCGTCATTTTGTTTTGGTCCTGGGAACAACTTTAACCTCCACACCTGCTAAAACAACCTTACCTCTCACAGTAGTTGATCATATGATGAATTTTCCCACCATAAAGTTATAAAAGCCATCTCTCCTTCCCCTTCAGAGGGAGTCACTAGTCATTCGTCAGAAGAGAGACAGAGTTGAGGTTGGATATTGTTCTTCTCCACTGCCAAACTTTACTACACCAACCGTAGACTCGTGTGCCACACCACAGAACCACTTTTGGGGACAATAGTACAGAAGAATATCCCACTGGTATTTGTCCAAGAGGTATGAAAGTTAAGTATTGTAAACTCTCTCTCTCAGTCCTCCATGCATTAGAAGAATAGAGTATTATGGAAGGAATTTAATGTAGTTAGAGTTGTAAAATTTTTCTTTTGCTGATTTTAATAAACCTTTGTTTTGTTACAAATGGTGTTCTTACTCGACTGTTGCCAACGTCTTACAGTCGAACCTCTCTGACTCTCCTCCATCTGCATAATGCGTAACAGAACGTAACCGCCATCCTTGACAAGAAAATAGTTCCTGTTGCCGGAAAGGAGTAGGATTGATTACTTCCGACCTCTCCAGTGGCTCACAGTAGGGTTTCCCATTAGAAATAGCTTATAATCTTGACCTTTGACTTAGACAATAAGGTCAAAGGTACATCCGGTTGTGAAATTTCCTGCTCTTTCCATTTCCGGGGTCAAAAATATGTGTTCCCATTGAAAAAAACAGACTTGACCTCCAAATGACCTTGAAGGTCAAGGCCACATATGAGGTCACCAATTGATTGACCCCTCGAAACCCTACAACTTTTCCGAAATAATGAGATCCAATTAAGTTATTTCAATGTCTTAAGATAAAAAATACACCCTGTATATTAAACATAGGCAGAGAGAGCAACACGGTTATCTGATAAAAATAATACAGAAATTGATCGCAACCTTTCAAACATCAAAAAGTCAACATGCATAATTGGACCAGAAATGAAGAGTTGTTTTAAATTACATTCCTTCTTTAAGAAACATACATAAGAAAGTGGTCAAAGCTAATGATGTAGTGATAGTATACTGACCTAACCTGACAATCTTCAGAATTTTAAGGAATGATAAGAAACCATATAACCATAATTTGTCCGTGGGGATTTACTCTATCCTGATAATTGACTAGCGTTTCAAATCAAAATTGTTCTATGTGGATGCCACTACATGTGATTTACAATGACGACTTAAGGAGCATAAGTACACAATTGAGAAAAATCTAAATAATATGGCACTCGCAATATGGCAAATAATATGGTTTACTCGCAACATCAAGATATACAAGTACAATGGGAGCAGGCAAACATCATCAGACCAACATCTAATATACACATGATGGGATATCTGGAGAAATTGGAAATTTATAGTCACAAAAAAATCTTCATGCATCAACCATAGGAATGCAGATAATTTGTCTACAGCATGACAATCCATTTATGAAAGTTAATTGTATTAAGCACATGGCGATCCATTTAGGAAAATTAATTTTATTGGACGATATTTATTCATTCGTTGTTATTTTATTTTTAATTAATATATTTCTGTGATTATTTATTTGATTAACTTCAACTATTTATTTATATATTTATCTTAGAATTCTTCTTATCATTTTTAAACTTTAAAATTTTTGTATTAGTGTTCTATCCTATTATAACTGATGAAGATCTGTAAAACTGATTGAAAACGTTTTTATTTTATTAAATTCATTACTGGATCTTTTAAAGGTGTGATTTTTTGACTTATAAATTTCCACTGTCATCCATTCATTTGACTGTCCATACGTCTATCTTTCTTTAATCTCAAGAACAGAGTTAGATAGATGAAAGATGAGACCTGATATGAAAACCTTAGGATAGGAGTCCCCAATTAACTATATATGAACTTTTGATGCAAATTGTAGGTCATGTTATTTCAGTTAGAAAATTTTCTCCTAAAAGGAGTTAGATACATGATCAGCATGACTATTGTTAAAGGAAAAGTATGATGTACAGGGGCAAATTTACTAATTTGAGATGGAGAGCATATATTTTAAATTAAAAATATGATTAAAAATTGCATTGTGATGATGTTACAATAACCAATTGTTCATTAACTTTGAAATTTTATTCTTGATAAATAAATGGATGAAGCAAGCATAAACAAATGCTACTATTGGGTGCCATCATGTTCTAATGATGATATTTACAGTCATTTGTATATGATTGCTCATTTTGCTGTTCTCATTTTGTGAAATGGCAGTGAGAATCAAACTTGCTAAGTGAAAATAAATAATTTTTTACATTCTGCTTTTTCTTTTCTAGTGAATGTCTATCTGAACTAAGCTTAGTGTACTAGAGCAAATACGAGCTGAGTGATTGGATATTATTGACATTAAAATTATTTGCTATTAAATTTTTTCTGAATTTATTTTAACACTTATTATTGTATTATTATTTTATATTTTATTAATTTATTATTGTTATTTGATAAATAAAACAAAAATGAAGAAGTACGATTAAAAGAAATTCTTGTTAGTAAGCCTTTGTATCTTTGACAAATGAAATTTAGGATGTACTTTTTTTTTTTTTTGTTTCACTTAAGTTAATTTATAATTTACATCTACAATGATGTCAAATAGAAAAAACAATGTTTTAATATGTAACAAGGTATCTTCTAAACTGTATAACAGTAAGTCTCATAATTTCATCTCTATCCAAGAGGCATAAGCTTTTATTTCTATTCTAATGATTTTCTACAGAATATATGCCTCTATGCAGTTAGCTATATGAAATTACAGTATATTTATTTTTGCTTTTATCATGGCTGTGGAGTCTTGTAAAAATCTGCCAATTCTGACCAGGGGCAGACTTGTTACCAAAATAGGCCTGGGAATTCTGATGTCATCCATCATATGACCTGAAACTAAAAGATTCAATAAATAGAGTTCTAATAAAGATAGAATGTAGAAACGTTTCTATAAAATACTCCTATAAGTAATGACACAGTCAATATATAAATATGTATTTGATAATTTTTACTTTTCCAGTTGTTATATATAACAGAGAGAAAGTGTAGTGATAAGTCAGAAAATGACCCCTCCCAAATTTTTACACATTTGGACTCAGAATATCAACATTGAAATGCCAAGATATGCAAAAGATTCAGTTTTTTTCCCCCTGTATGTGTATGGATGTTAGACTGTGTGGGGGGGCACCATTTTGTTCACCATGTTTGAAGCCTAACAACTTTTGTGTGGTTTTCTAAATCCGAGTCAGATGGTTTAATACATGAATTATCAAGCTTCAAAGTGGTTGAACTAAACTGTGCCCCATACACATTCTAACATCTCAGGCAAGAACATCTTAACGGGCTCTACTGTACTGTTATAAAATGACAAAAAGCTTAATTTTGAGGATAGAGATGAGTTTTATAAAAAATTTTGAACACTAATAACAAGTAAAATATTCATTAAGTTTGACCACACTGGAGATATGACATGACTCCTTTTATATCTCCATCCTGTCTACTTTTCATTAAGAATCAAAATTTAATAGCATTCATGCCCTTTTATACACAAGTTACTGTGCCAAATTTTATTTCTTAAACTTTACCCATTCTGAGATATTATTTAATATCTCAGAACAGAATAAAAAAATTAAACAAATTAGATGCTGGCACACACACATGAAGTTTCCCCTTTTATTTGATTGTTTTTTTTTTTTTTTTGTTCAGGAGGTTTCCAACGTGTAGATTTGCAAAAAGCTTAGGGGGTCAAATTTGACACAATTCCAATACTTTTCTGTTTTATATACATAACAAATTGGGAAATAAAAAGTAGTTTGAGTCGGCGGATTTTTGACGACTCTGACTAAAACACCAAAACTCCATGACTCCGACTGCACAGCCCTGATTTTTATTGTAATTTTATTAACTTTATTAAAGTGACATTTATTTAATAATTTTTCATATTTTTGTTAAATTAGTAAAGTTTTATTTTAGCAATTTATGATGGTTTTGAATCTGAACCACTTCCTGAACAATACGGTTTGGATTATTATAAAAGTGAATTTCAAGAAGAAGATGAAAAAAATATTAGGTATATTGAATTTTCAAATATTTAAGATAATTAATAAACAAATGTAATTTATTATATTCTTCTTTGCACTATTTTCCTATTGTATCATTGTAACTCATTAGATATATTCAATCAGTCATTTATGGTAATTCATTTGGAATTCTTGTATTCTATTAGCATTTGTCTATATTTTATCATAAGTGTGTTACAGTCAAAGCCTGAAATTCATGTGAACCTGATTTTACTTTGCAAAATTATTCTAGCAAATCCCTTTGTTAATTCTAATTTTAACTACAGTTGTCCCTTGATAGTCCAATGTTTTGTAATCTGACATGCTCAGTAGTCCGACGCATCTCCCGTCAAGGTCACCGTAGTCCCCGTCCCTGTTACATGTCTGCTTGCACAGAAGCATGTTTCTACATGAATCTCCCCACCCAATTCTTACACTATGACATACATTTTGTGTGTTTTCCATGAGCAGTTCTGTTCGAACAGTTGGAGTAGGAAATATTGTAGGCTACTGCTAGCAAAACAATGCCAAATATGTAATCACTTTCGGTAATCCAGACACTTTTGGTAATCCGACACCTCTTTGGTCCCATACCTGTCAGATTATCAAGGGAAAACTGTAGTTAAATCTAGAATTAACAAAATGAACTTGACAATACTAGTATAGAGGGCCTAGTTGTATCTTGTTTGGATACTTCCCTTTGATAATGGATATTGTGATGTTCATGTAAGAGGTGCTGCACAAAAGGAAGACACAATGTGTGATCCAATTAAACAAAATTAATTTCTCACTTAAAATATATATACAGTTTCTTTAAGGATTCCCACTGTTGTAAAATTCCAACTACCTTCTGATGGTTTCAACATTACAGGCAATCCAGATAGTTGGTTTTTTCTCAACTACTAACCCAACAATGGTTCGTGTCTAATATTCTCTCATGCAATTCTTAATCTAACTTAATCTAATAGAAGGTGGATAGAAGAAGGGTAAATAAGAATAATAATAGGATATGAGATACCCAATTTATCAGCGAGTATTCCAAGTATTTCTTCGTCTCGAATGTTTTATTCTCTTGCAGATCAGCTTTCTGAGGGTTCTCCTCCAAATCTATCGATCTACTTTTTTCTTGATCCGTTCTCTACTGTCTCCTTTTTTATAGCGCTTGTCAGATTCCACTTACAAGCCTTGCTGCCACATGTCCATTGCCTCTCGTGTCCAGCCCAAGAATGTCCAGGAATTTCGATTTTCTCCTTCAGCCTCATCAAAGACTATTGTTTTCACCCTACCTCCTGGTGGGCAAGGGATGAGTCCGAGTTCTCGGAAGTTCGAACAAAGAAACAAAGGAAATTGGAAGGAAGGATAAATTTAGAGAGATAGAATATAAAATTAATTTGAACTATACAAAATAGAATGGCATATAGCCACATTCACACAAAATGTATGTAGACTGACAAAGGAAACATACGAAAAAATACTTAGCAACAATATTTTTATTTTGCATATTTTGAACAGGTTCTTTATAGATTCCAACTCCTCAGTCAACAATTAAGATACAACATATACTGATGATTAATGGCAGGAAATTACGTAGGATATATCATTTGTGACATATATGTACAGATAATATCTGAAAAGCTATAACTAATGCTTATATAATAACTTAAGGGTAATTGTTATAAGCCATACACCAATGTTTTCTCTCTTAATTTTATTTGCAATAGAGACATACAGTACATGCTAGACATGTCCAAAACACACAGAATATTTGAGGGGTCACTCATCTAAAAAACTCTATAAACAAAAAAGTCATAGGACTACTTACCAACTCTGCACCATTCCAGCCGCCATTGCTTAAGCTTATTTTTTTAAAAACCAACGAAATATGCTTTAAATACTACACGATATAAAAAGTAGTTAATATGTTTATATTAATTCATTTCTTTCTGAGATTGACTTCTAAAAATTTTAAGGGTTGGTAAGGGGTCTCACACAGAGTTCAACTTAGGGTCTTGAAACAATTAAATCTGGCCCTGTGTCCCACATAAAATTACTAACATTTTAAACTTTAAGGAAAAATTCTTTAAAATTGACAGCATAACTTGTTCATATAAAGCTGGTCAATCAGAAAACTTTTTTTGCCAATTCTTAACAGTTGAATTTCCTCTTTTTGGTTATATTTATGAGCTTCTCCGAATTCTGATTTCCGAATAATCATCCGTTTTTCATGTGGAAGTAGACTAAAACTTATATTCGGCTCCCATATTGTTTTTTTTTTTTTTTTNAATTGGGAACATTTCAGTTGTTTATTTTCGTTAAAATGGAAGTAACAGACAAATATAAGAGACATGTTTTATACTTTTTATTTTTAAGTGGTGAGAATGCTACAAATGCAGCCAAAAAATTAAATACTGTTCATAATCAAACTGTAATTAGTGTAAGGACTGTGCAGAAGTGGTTTGAAAGATTTAGAAATAATGATTTTAGTGTGGAGGCTAAGGCTTGTACTGGAAGACCCGTTGACTTTGATGATGATGCTCTCTCTGTGCTAGTTGAAGCAGAACCATCTTTAACAGTTGACGAAATTGCAGAATGTTTAAATTCATCCCATGAAACTGTTATAGACATCTACAACAAATCAGAAAAGTTTCAAAGCTAGGAAAATGGATACCACATGAACTGTCAATAGCTAACCGACAACAACGTGTAAACATTTGCACGTCTCTTTTATCCCGCATTAAATGCTGAACCTTGATCGGCTGGTTACTGGAGATGAAAAATGGATCCTCTATAATAATGTGACAATGGACAGATCGCAACAAGCAGCCGAAACCAGCTGCAAAAGGTGGGTTGCATCGAAAAAAAATTCTTTTGTCTGTTTGGTGGGATATGTCAAGTATAATTCACTTTGAGCTGTTAGAACCTAATCAAACAATTACAGCTCAAATGTATTGTGATCAATTAGAGCGTTTTAAATGAAAAATTGAAAAAAATCGACCGTCATTGGTGAACAGAAAGCAGGTTCTCTTGCAACATGACAATGCCAGACCACATGCTGCAAAAATAACTGTAGAGAAACTCAAAAGCTTCAACTGGGAAATTTTACCTCATCCACCATATTCGCAAGTTATTGCTCCCAGTGATTATCACCTTTTTCTCAGTTTGCAGAATTTTTTAAAAGGGAAAACTTTTGAGGATGAGAACAATGTAAAAAAGGCTATTTCTGAATATTTTGATTCAAAACCGAAATCATTTTATGAAGACGTGATTAAAAAGCTAACATCAAGATGGCAAGAAATTGTACAAAATAATGGTGAATACATTATAGATCGAAACAAAATTTAATTAAAATTTTTTGTTGCTTTTTTTGTAGATAAAAATATGCATGAACTTATGGACTGACCTGATAAATTTTAGTGCTAGTTAATTTTTGCACTTGTGGATCAGATTGGTAATTCCATCTTTCTTGCATCAAAGGTTCTGTGTTTAGTTCATGAAGGCCATTAAGGGATAATTAAAACAAACACTTCTCCAAACTAAAATTTTGCCAAAAATAGATGGTGTTTGAAAGCTCTGTACAATTGTCCAGCATGCCAGCTAAATGATGACAATCCTATAGGCAAACCAATAAAGGTTACCATCTGGGCCAATAGGCCTTTAGCAACAACATATAACCTTTCATTTTTTCAGATTATTTCTAAGTTGTTCCACTTGTAGTTCTTCAGACTAACAAATTTTTTTTAGGGAAATGAAAGATCATTCAATAAAATAACGACAGTTGTACATAATCCTCCTTTCCATTCCATATTCTTTCTTCTTTAATTCTAACAATTCTGTATACACATACTACAAGTAGAAACCAACTACATCAAAAAAAGGGAGTTTTTCTCTCTCTGACTTATTTTATTTTACTGGAACATATGGCATGACCAATCTAGATCTTGCCATTGTTAATATGACACAAAAGAGATATACTATAGGGTGGTTTAGAAAAAAGGAATGAGGGTGGATAAACTAACAATAAATGTTGAAATAAATGCTATTTATTATTTTCTACTTAATTTCTTAATGCTTTAATTTTAAGCTTAGTCCATATAGAGAATAAAATTCTTGAAAAATTAGAAATAGAATGACTATTGCATTGGCAGTGATGTCTTTTCTGGAAAATTTTTGTTTTGCAAATTTTAATCTTATATTGAACTTTTTGGCTACCAAAACATATTTGCCACTAATTAGAATAACAAATTTTTAGAGATGAGAGATTTAAACAAAACATTTATAAAGAATATGTTTTCTAAATATATTCTNAAAAAAAAAAAAAGGGAGGAGGAAAAGATAGACAATAGGATAGATAGGGTACCCAGTGCCGATGATCTTGGACTGCTGGTGGTGGTGGCCTATTGGTGAAATCTTGCAGACAGTAAGTCAAAAAAATGACTCAGGCTTTCTAAACAATCGTTTGGAGGTTCTTACACCGATGTATGTGTTCTGACTCCTTCCGATCGCTAACTTCTAGTCTCCACTTGTCCTACCATTGCTGCCGAAACAACCGGGAGGTCTCCTTCGCACGTCTTAGTTTTACAACGCCTGAGCCAGAAAGTGAGTTCGAAGTTTCCCTTTTTGCCCTCAGGCTACCGCCTCTTCTTTGTTCTTGAAAGTAGGTCACCACCACCTTATCAGGAAAGGATTAGGGAAGAATTTTCTAGAAAGTTATAGACAAAGGAAGAAAGAAAAAGAAAGGAAATGAAGAAAATACAAATAAAAATATATACATAAAATAAGGCATACGGCCACAATAGATCTAATGTTATGAGTACAATTCATATGTGGTTTATGAGATTCTGACATCCGTGAGAAAATTCTACAACAAACTGACCTAACCTTCGAACAGATGCTAGAAATTGCTGTGGAAATTAGTTTTTTCCCAAGAAAAAAAAACACAACTCCAAATTTTTGATAAAACCAAAAAGAAAAGGAAACTTTAATTAAGGCCCAAAAAAATATAAACTACAGG